TTTAAAATTAAAAAAAAAAAATTAAAAAAATGTAAAAAAAAAAAAAAAAAAAAAACCTGACAAGGACATTAGGACATAATTTTTTTCATTTGACTCATTTGCTGCTTGATGACAACGTAACATACATAGATCTCGATGCATGTTATGATCTAGAGTAAGACAATGAATTGAGTAGTACATGATCTTTTCAGAAACGAGGCCGCCAGTCTGGTAGCTTTAGAAAAGTAATCTGGTAGTTCAGTGTCCGGTTATCTTTCAAGAATATTCTCCCCCCTGCACAATTCAATCCAATGCAACACATAAAGGCGATGTTCATTTTTAAAATCATTCAATTATGAGGTAAGCTTTACCGCAAGGTGACTATCACTCTAATTCATATTACATATAAAAGTATTCTGATGAACAGTAATGCAGCATTCAACACAGGAATATCACACATTGGTATGTAATTCTCCACTAAAATATGGTTAAAATGAAGAGGATGCACTGACTTACGTTGAACAGGTATCTGGATGAAATGTATTTTGGAAGGTTCAGGATGACTGTCCAAGTGTTGTCCTCCTCTCTTGTCTGCTGTGCTTGAATGGATGAGAGTACGAGACAGAACTCACACAAGTACACGTACACAGTGGCATTAACCGACTGCGGCTCATTCTGATTGGTTGAGTGAATGAACCTACGTCGGTCCGTCTCACCGGCATAGGATCAGAATATCGCTCTAATCCATCAACAGGATTAAGACGGTCTATGGATTTGGCAAACGTCTTTAGGCCCAGGGGTCATACTGTGGGGTCGGTCATGTGGTGATTGTATCTCTCCGTGAGCTCAGAGATGGTGGTTAGGTAACCCTGAGACGACCTGCAGTCACATCATGTGGAAGACTGATAGTTCTGACATGAACGCAATGACTTTCTTTGCTGGTAGGTTGTGCATGCTGAAAAAATCTTGGTCAGTAAAAGATAAACAATGGACCCTTTTACATATGTACTGTGGTTCTCAGAAGCAGAAGCCATTATATTGTTAGGTAAACATCTATAGTGGTGAACGGAATCAACAAAAGCAAAATATATGTGTTAAAAAAAAAGTATTTTATATATATATATAAACTTTGCTAGATTTACGATATTAATAACTGAAAAGGCTTCATGGGGTCCAAAATATTAAACTTCAGTTAATGCATCCTTGCTAAATAACGGTATTCTTCAATTTCTTTATAATTTTTCTTTCAAAAATATATAAATCTTACTGACCTCAAACGGTAGTGTACTAATATATATATATATATATATATGATATAATACTCTTTTTGTTGCATGTTTTAATAGTTAAACATATGCACACTGCCAATTAAACAATAGTAAATATCCTCAATAATCTTCCATATTATCACATCTCAACACTGTTGGACATGCTCAAATTCATACCAGTAACAGATTAAGTGCAAATAAAACAGGTTTTCAAATTTTCTGATGATAATATTTTATTTAAATATAATTATCACCATATTGTCAGTTTTACAATCAGTATCATATAAACACATGCCAGAAGTATGACAACACAGAGGCCAGTCATAGGTGTGAATGAGAGTCTAAATGTAAAAGAAAAATATGAAGCTCTTTCGTAACAACTACAGTCATGCTGTACTCTTCAGATACCCAAACATGCATACTAGCCATACTGACTCACCCATTCAAACATCCCAAACAACATTCACATATTCATTCGCTACAATCCCTTGTGCTGCTTCAGACCGTTTTCAATCATCCTTTAAATTCACAGTCTTTTACTTTGCTTCTTACCATTCTGGCACAAAAAGATTTCTAATCATGGTCTAAAAGAGACGTTGGTCAAATGAAGTTGTAATCAGACTGTAATGGTACAACAGGTTGGCTCAGACCGCATATATTCTCAAAACATCCAACATGCAAAGTGATCAGTCAGTCATCACCCTTTTAATGGGTTAAACCAAACAAATAATACTGAAGTTGTAAGCATTTATCTCTGTTACTTTGTGCTTCTCATTATAATTGCTCTTTCAAGTTATCACTGGATGATGAAATTCCCTGGTTTAGTGGAATGTGCTTTTATATTATTGTACCTGCATGTGATTCCCTACAGCACCAAAAACTGTAGAGAAAAATATAAAGAATTTTTATATAATATGATGTACCATCCACTGGTCAGCAAATATCAATGCATATTAAGGGTTACCAATCATTTAGGACAGAAGGGGCTGATAAAATTCTGTCTGGAAGTCCATTGATTGACATGAAGAAGGGCAAGTGCTCGTCACATACAGGTGGAGCCCTCTGGTGAACACTGGAGCCGCTTCTCAATGATACACCGCAGATACTTGTATCTATTCAGAAAGAGATGCATGGATAATTAAATCACAAAGAAGTTAATTTAAAATTATTTTGACTGTCGCTTTTAATGCATCATTGCTTTGGAGGTCTCTTAAAGGGGTCGTATGATGTTGCTAAAAAGAACATTATTTTGTGTATTTGGCGTAATGAAATATGTTTATGTGGTTTAAGGTTCAAAAAACACATTATTTTCCACATACTGTACATTATTGTTTCTCCTCTATGCCCCGCCTTTCTGAAACGCGTCGATTTTTACAAAGCTCATCGGTCTGAAAAGCGAGGTGTGCTCTGATTGGCCAGCTATCCAGTGCGTTGTGATTGGACGAATTCCTCAAGCGTGTGACGGAAATGTTACACCCCTTACCATACTGTGATGCCCTGTCAGACCGGAGCGATGATTCAAAAACATGAAAACCCATTATAAACGAGGCATTCGTTGCATCCAGTGGGGACATAATTACAGATTATAATGACTTATACTGTCTTTTACGCGTTGCGTTGCATTTGATCAAATGAATAGCCTTGATTAGTAATAAAAAAAAATAGTAATTTTTAAAATTAAAATAAATAAATAAATAATGATAATAATAATAAAGTC